ACTTTTGTGTAAAATTATTTCTAATTTTGACTAAATAAAAATAATTTTGTTTTTCTCCTATAATATGTTACAAGAGGACACGTCTCTTTCCCTCCTAATTTATAAGTCAGAATTGTACATAACCTAATGGATCAGTGTGGGTCAGAAAGTGCATTTAGGTTGTTGAATGAAAACCTTAACTGACTGTACACAGCACCCCACTGTTCATTACAAAATTAATTAAACACACATTGCTTCAAGACTTACTGTGTTCATCTTGGGAGAGTTTTAAATGCAGATCCTCTCATTTTGTGTTCAAACACATACCTTTTCACACCTAAAATGATGCTGATTTTATATCAGCCTTCATCTACTCTGATGCTCTTAATATTTTTTTTATTTATTTGAAATTTTGGACTGAATGATTACATTTCACAAGTTATAATTTGTTTTCAATTAATTTCAGAATTGAATAGTAGGAGAACCATAATATTTAGGATGAAATTAAAATAAGTAGTATGTTTTTTTTGAAGTCCAAGAAAGAAAAACAAATAAATGATATGTTCATTTGGTTTTCCTAATATTATTCAAGAACTTCAATTTTATAGTGTGTTTTATTCAATTTTTCACTGCAGAAATTAATCATGGTAGATTTCAGATAATTCTTTTGCTGACCAGAAATAATCTTGAATTAGCTTACAGAGCGTTCAACTTTCCTAAATAAATTGAAAACTGTTACGATAGCTTTCAATGTTTATGTCACTAAAATCATTTCATGGTAACTGCTTATGGATCAATGTACAAAATATTAAAAAATGTTTTAAGGAAAAGTGTAAAGGGCAAGTCTCTAAGGAAATAACTATAGAAAGAATATTCTCACTTATTTTATCAAATTACTTAGAACAAGATATGGTTAATGTGACTTCTGTACACATAAGTTGCTAAGGCAGAAATGAATGTGTACTTAAGAGTACCTTAATAATACTCACAGTCTAATATTTTTATTTGTTAATTTTATTCAATGATAAATTTTGTTTGTGGTTTTATAAAATATATGGCTGATTCTGAATGGAAGATATACATGATCTGATTTTTCATTCTAAGGGATCTATTTGGTCTGACTGAACAATGCACGCAAAATAATAATCCATGTAATAATCATAAAAGTTTCGGGGTCTACTTTTTCTTCCCTTATTAATACATTAAAATGAATTGTTACCCAGAATCCTTTGAATCTGTGGCATTTTTAAGGATACAGACTGACTTAAGTTACACGGTAAAGGTCTTAGTCGTATTTCTATTATCGTCAGTGACATTAATATATTCTAATTTGACAAACAATAGTAGTTTGTTTTTTGCTACAAATTACTGAAATATATGTGTAAGAAGAAAAAGATTAGCACCTATGTGACTCTGGACAACCACTCCCTTTAAGTAGATGGCAGGAATCATCATTCTGCAATTGACTTTTGAATTGAATAGTTCTTACTTGAGGGATATCATCAAGTTCACGCTTATAACACAATTTTTTAAGGATGAAAGATTGTGTCTCATTTTCTTTATCACTTTTTGGAGATCAATTTTTTTTATTGAATTGGAAATATTAAGACATTTCAAACCAAAAAGTATTTTCCTGTATTCATTAGGTGAGATACCGCCCACTTGGAAAAAGAGTTTTAAATATGTTTTAAAGGTTTTTTAAAAAGATAATTTTTGGATTAAACACCAAAAGGATGCTTAGAATATGGATTTTAAAAAGTTAAAAGACTGAGGAATTAGGTATACTTGGAATTATAGTTTTGAATTCATTAGATAAATTTTTCCATTTGGAAATGGTAGTTATTTGGGCCTTTTTTTAAAAAAGAGAAAACATGATAATGGAATCTTGAAAGTTTGAAACACTAGAGAGAGGTAAAAAACAATAAAGTCATCTAGTTAAGAAATGAAACAAAATTTTTGATGAACATTTTTGAATTTTGATCTTCAAAATTATTTGATATAAATAGATTCTGCGTCAATGAAGTCAAGAAGGACAAGCTGCAATTAATAAGTTTGAAATTAATTTGAATGTGGATTTAAATATGTCAAAGAGAAGGATATTCTCTTCTGGAAGTTCAGATGAAACAGATGGATATTCCACTGATTAAAGGAGATGTTACAAACATTTAATTTGAAAAGTGATCCAGATAACTTTTTATTACTGGATTTTAAAAGAGGTCTGTAAATTCTGAAAAATTATCAGGTTAAAAAAAAAGAATAGAAAACAAGCTATGTGACTATATTTGATAGGGTTAAAATTAAATTGTTAAAAATTCAGGTGAGAAATAGAGCTAGTTTGATAGATCCAGCTTAAAATAGAGAGTTAACTATATCTGGATTTTCCATAATTATATATGGATTTTTCTCATAAAGAATAAATGAGATAGTTTTGTTTTTGGGATTTTACCATGTCACGTGTCATGCCCCTGGTGGAGACTGACTCTGAGCAGTCAGAGGAGGACCCAGGCCCATCCCTGATCCATCCTAGGGCATGCAGGGAGGAGAGGATCAGGGTAAAACATGGTCTACTCGGGAAGAGAGGGCCATGATCGTCTTCATGGGCTACAGGTGTGAGAACTGCATTAGACTTTGGACATGCAACAGACGCTGGAGACAAATTAGTGTTTTATTCCTAAAGGTTTATCTTGGTTGGCGTTCTTCCAACGGACTGTACCTGGTTATATTCCTGAAGTTGGCAATTATCTATCCTGGTCTGTTGTGGAACTTTATTCAGTGCGGTTTGTTTTTGGTTTTTGCTTCGTTATTGGCTCTTTGAACTGTGTTTCTTTCCTTTGAAATGTTAATTTTAAAATAGTTTACTCCTCCACTGTGAACAATTAAACAGTGAAGCCAAGTTGAAGGCATTAAAGGACTTTTAGTTACGTTTTGGGTTTTGTTATATTTCTGATATACTCTGGGTCATTCACATCACGTATAGTTTAGTGCATTATTCTGCATAAATATTTTCAAATTTTCAAGATTTAGAATATTGATGGTAAAGTTACATGGGCAAGGTATTTGACTTGGTAGAGCAGAAACTGAGAATCTTTTCAGGAAATTCTCCTCCTGCCCCTTGTCATTAAAAATATTATTATATGAAATCATATGAGCCCCTATGTTTTATTCACAGTAATGTGATTAACGCAGGCCAGATGCAGCCAATCAGCTAGCATGAGAAATAGACTGCAAGCAATCTGTTACTACCAAGGGAAATAAACCCAGAATTAAAGCCTTGGGGTTTCTCTCCCCCTCTCTTGCTATTCCATGGCCTATGTGGAAGTTGCTACTCATTGCAAGTCGGGCAGCTTGTATTTTCAGTCTTTGATTACTTATGTGAATGGTAAATTTATAAAGAAAGACATGTTACAAAGACCTACAGCCAATACCCGACAAGAATAAAAATACAACAAACCAGTCAGGCTAACAGGAAAATAAATTACTTTGTTAGAGAAGGATTAACTGGAGAGAAAAATGTTGATATCAATGTATACTTAGCAGAACCTCAATTTCCTTGATCTCTTGTGGGTGGATCCTATTCAGAAGTGGAAAACTTGAGACTCTCAAATGTTGCTGAACCATGAGTGTATTATCACTCCCTATTGGTCATGCAGCCATCATTTAGCCATCACTGGTAATTTAACTTGAACTATTTAAAAGCCCAGATTCTTGTTCAGTTTTAATTACTTCATTTTACTATATTTTTTATACCTTAGAAACCCCTAAACACTGAGCTCCAGCAATATACTGCACCAAATCCATTATTTTGTTGTGCCTTTCTCTCCCTCTCTCAGCAGCAGCTTCCAAAGCCATAATTTCCAGCTATTACATTTCTTCCTGGATTTCTTCTGAATGAATATGCTTTTCTTAACATGTGTGCATGTACACACAGGTATAGAAGAGTGAGGGTGAAAAGAAGCAGAAAAGCAATTGTTTTGGGGTGAACAACTCTCCCTCCATAGCCCATCTCCCTCTGTAATGCTTTTGTAAATATTACAATGCCAACAGAAAGGTACTTTCTTTTCAGCAGTTGTGCAATTACTATCCTAAAGGAGAGATGACAGTGAATATATTCCTAGTAAAAGCATGAATAAGGTGATGTAAGGATATAAAAAATGGCCTGCTCTGGCAGCCGTGAATGGAGGTTGCTAATTATTGTCATCTATTAAGATATGTTTTAAAAACAAGCAGTTGGGATAAAATGAACAGCATGTTTTTAAAGATTTTGTATGAAAAAGCATGCAGGGAAAATAAACATGAAAAATGGCTGAAACTTAATTCATTTTGAATGCTTCATATGACCCCAAATGATATTTTCTGCTACTAGAAAAAGGAAATAGTTTTGTTGAGGAAATATTTGAATTTCCAACTTAATTAGGATATGGTTACATTTATTTACATTCTATGAATTCCCAGTATGGCTGGGTCAGCTAATTGTGTCTGCCAATTATTCTGCCCTAGTTTAATTTATAATTATTATTTCAATGCATAAAAGTAATGCACCAAGAATTTTACCTATTTTAAAAATGAAATTATCTGAATATATAAACCTAAGAGCTTGCACTGATGGGGTGCATTTCTGAATTTATTTACAGATAGTTTATGTGTTCTGGTAAGTCACTTTCAGGCTGGAAAAATGTCAAAGATTTTACTGTAATGTAACTTTAAGCTATTATGCATACAAAATACTAGGAAAGGGAATTAGAAAAAAAAGGAATGGATAAAATCAGTGAATGTTGCAACAATTCCTTAATATACATTGGTGGGCCAAGTGACATTAGAAAGAGGACCTTTTTCAAAGGTAAAGAAATGGATATAATGAATTTATGAACTGTCCTTCACTTCATTCAAGTGAAGAATTGTTACTTCAAAAGTGCTGAAGAATGATTGAAAGCAACCATTCAAGTCAAAAGTTTATTTTAGCATTCACACAAGAACATGTAGCAACAAAGAAAACTGCTTGATTAGTGTATTCTATCCCCTAGCAAATGGATCAGTACATCACTTCTGATGATGGCATCTGCCAAGAAAATGCTATAGAAATGGAAGAAGAAAGAATTGCTATAAACCAGAAAATAAGAGTTTACAGACGGACCTTGTGTATAACTCATTATAGTTGCTACTCCAGAGTAAAGAAAAATAAAATAAAAAATACTTGTTATTAAAGTAGTACAGGATTTGATTGATTTGTAGGGCATAGCTGCACAAAACTGGAGCAGTTGGGAGTTACATCAGCTTCCTGACTTTCCAAAGGTCCTCCAGAAAATTCACATTGAAAGGGAAGAGCTGATTTTTTGAATCCAGTTTTGTGGACTTTTTAGGACAAGAATGGCAACACGAAGTCTCCGGAAGGCAAACGGCATCCATTTTACTCTTAAAGAGTAAACAGCATGAGAACAATTTGCTTCCCAAGGCCTATTCTCAGCTCCACTTTTAAAACATACCAAAATGGGGAATTCAGTGGCGGAAGGGGGCATTTTCCAGAAATGGAAAAAAAAAAAAAAAAAACCTCTCAGAGCTGACCCTTCTGTTTCTATCTTTATTTAAAACTCACACACTGACGGTAACTTCAGTATATCACTAAAATTTAGCATTTTGTATCTTAGGCTACTGAAAGATGGAAATGGGGGTCCATGGAATGATAGTCTTTAAAAGGACAAGGATAAGGAATCTCTCCTTCCTGGATTTTGAAAGATTGATGAAAATATAGGTAGTTCAATCTTCCCGACCACCTGTTCAGCAACCATTTGAAGTTGCAACAGTGCTAAAAGAGTGCTATCTTAAGACTGGTTCACAAAGTTCTGGTTGTCACAGAGCCCTTGCAGTCATTTTATCTTGATTTAGGTTCTTGGCCACACTCACAACAGTTGCAGGGTCCTGCAGTATTGTCAACCAAATCCTTCCTTGCTGGCTTCCCATAAGCAAAGTCAATGAGGAGGCCAGCAGAGAATGTTCCTAGTCACTACGGTAAGTCCCCTTGCTTTTTACTATGCTTACATCAAGCCCTACACACCCCATCCTTCTTGAGCTCATGCCTTGCTGTGGGATCTACCTCCAGGATTTCTGGAGACATGCCCTGCTGTGCCATTCACTCTCTTGGCTTTCCTGTGCTCAGATAGCTTGCACCAATTTTCCAGGACCTCCCCCACACCCTGCAGGCACACACATCCCCAACACTCCTGAGTTCATTACTTGGGACTTCCACCATTTCCTGCATAATGACCTGCATATCTTGCTTTTAGCAAACGGAACTGTTATTGCTAAACGATGTGGTCCCATGATGTACTTTATGATTGCATCACTTAGCAATGACAAATCCAGTGCCAATTGCCATTGTAACACAAGGATTACTTGTAAAACTTTCCATGCACAATATTTCAGGATTCTTACAATCATCAAATATTCTTACAATATTTAGCTTGTATCAGTTAAAAAACCTTTATGCAACACTTGATTGCTAAAGGACAATTGTACAGTCCAAAACATTAGTTGCTTATACACAATTGAAAAGTATGAAGTAAAATTCACCTAAAGCCAATTTATTCCCTAAGAACTTTTGAACACCTCGTCTCATTAATGGCATGCATTACACAGGAGAACGAATGGAATGGCATTAGACTCTGCAGCTCAATCAATACTGCACCAATTTATGCTTGATGGATTATGCAGACAGACAGCATAAGATGTGACACAAAAATACTTAGGAATGTAGTCCTTGTATCCTAAACCACCCTACATTACTTCTGGCAACAACTACTCCACAAGTTACCCAGTTAATATAACAAATTTTCATCATTGATTGTTCCAGAAAACTGTTCAACAAATATAATGTGCATCCTTCTCATCAAAGATGATAAAATACAACTATACTGCTATAAGGTAATTGAATTGCTACATTAAGCAATATATATGTGTACGTATTTATGTACATTTATCAACTTACTCTAGTTTTGTGAAGAATAATGAAAATCTATGCTTTTAATTGCTTGCTACTTTTCCAATTTCTGGAGGTGGGTATTATTTACAAAGGCACATCGACACATAATCTATTACAGGTAATCTTCAGTTAACTATGTAAATTGGGATCAGAATTTGTTGCTAAGCAATGCAGTTTTGAAGCATAATGTCACATGACAGTGCTGCTTATGGCACTTCTGGATGCTGTCATTAGGTGAATCCTGCAATGTCATTAAGCATGACATCACATTGATCGCCTTTTGTGACCTTCCAGCTTTTTCCATTGACTGCTTGTCAGAAGCTGGCAGTGAAGATCTCAAATGGCACTCGTGTGGCCATGGGGAATATGCTTCTGGAACTTTGTTGAGCAGTTGTAAGAACGACTTATTCAGCACCATCATACCTTCAAAGGGTTGCTGAATGACTGTTACTGAGGCCTGTATACATATTTTAACCAGGATTATTTTGCAATAAATTTTTTTTTATTTGATCATGAAAATGTGATATAGAAGGCTGAGTCGCTATTCATTCGTTTGCTTGAATGTAAAAAGTGCATATTCATTCATTGAAGACATTCCGTTTGTAGGCTATACATTACAAGTATATGCTGTGTACCTTTTTAAAAGAGTAATGTTCAGAGTGTAATTTACACTGTTAATTGTTTTCAAATTTATTATTGTAAACATCAAGTTATTGAAATGAAAAAAAAAAGATATTTTCGTGAAGTACTTGCTACAAATTTCTGTTCTTTTATTGTACAAGTTAATGCATAGCACTATCCCTATCTCATTTCACTTCTTTCTAGTATTTAAATACCTTATAAATTGGCTTTATAGTACAGTAAACATTACTTTCCTGTTCTTAAGGGCAATCATGCTGAAATACCAATTTAAAACAGTGGCTTGCATGCAGGTCCCACTACTGAATAAAATCATTTTTATCCAATTTGAAAAGTGGAAACATGAGAAGTTACTTACCTATAGATTATACACGCACTGTTCCTACATGTGTCACAATTGGAGGTGTCTTGACCAGTCCGATATGAAAGCCTGAAAATTTAAAAACATTATATAGTTTAAAGAATTGCTTCTTCGTTATTTTAAGTGGATGGAAGGATGAAACCTAATTTTAACTTCTCATTGGATTGAAGGTCAGTTTTGTACCTGCATTTAGACACATAAGAATACTTACACATTTTGATATTCAGAAAATACAGTTTGTTAATATAGTGACAATTGAAATCAATTTGCCTAAGCGTGATTTACATATTGTGGATGATACATGCCTGTCACAATGTTTTTATTAGATTTTCTCTCTTCAAATGATACATATTGTCCAAAAGGGAATGCTGGAGTCATAGGCAATAAGCAAGAGGAATGACAAGATTGCTTAATTTTAGAAGTCATCCAATAAACATTTCATTGTCAGGGAAGGCACACAGATTGCTCTTATAACTTGCATTTGCAGCCCTTTGAACTTCCAGCATTATTTCTTGATTACACATAACCTAAATTAGATGTACAGCTTATCTTACTGGTCATTTTGAAATGAACAGTAATTGACTAATACAAAGTTCTGATATAGTTGACAAGTTTGGTAAAAACTTAGGTCAAAAACATTATACTTTTTCATATCTTTATTGAGAAAAAATGATTCAAAGTTACATATCACAAGGTATGTGATCATCAGTGCATGTGAAGGGGACATTAGAGTCAAATATTTCAAATATGTTTAATTGGGCTCTCTATCTAATTTCAAATCATATTTATGCAGAAATTCTGAAAATTCAAAAGGGTTCAGGTTCACAAACTTTAACGCATATTATTAGATGTAATACCATCTATAATTAGTCTATTGCCTACATATAACTCTCTAACAAATGTTCAGTGTGCCTAATTTCCGTCTAAACCTATTACAATATGAATAGAGAAATCAGCTAATGTTATTTCAGCAATGTAAAAATACAGCAGGAAATTCTAATAAACTGAAATTAAATACTTGTGTTGCGCTTTAATTACAAGTAGTAATTCATGTCTGTTATTTCAGAATACAAAGCTTAGCAACATATATCTTTCTCAGTAATTTTACAATAATTTTGTGACTATATTTTCCAGTTTATGCTTGTATTGAAAACTATGAAAATGCCGTGTCAACTATTACGTGAACCCAAGAATCTTCTGTGAGTGACCAATCAGGATGGCCAAGTGAAGTGTCCCAGAGCTGTTGCTTCACTATCCCCAAAGCAAAGAGAAATATAGACTTTTTAGTTATGGTATGAGGGTCACTCTATAGGATTCATTGGGGTAATGAATTGTGACATCAGAACTGATGAACCCCTCTGATATTGTGGGGTGGTGGCCAATTACATACAGACTAGTGGTACTGCTGCTACTATGGAAAAAGTGGGTATAGGAGAGTACTTAGCAGGACAGAACAGTAGCATAGCAGACAGATCCTCATTTAATGTCCCTATACATATACTTTCCAGTTATGATACTGAAGCTGCTTTGGTTGAGGGTATGAATCAGGGGTGTCCAACCTTTCACCTTCCCTGGGCCACATTAGATGAAAATTTGGTTTGGG